TTGCGCCTCAGCGTCTTGCCTTCAAAAATCTTGTGGTTACCTGTATTACTGATTACCTAAGAATACAAATTGTTTTTGAAAGAGTATCAGCATTAAAGCTGGTGAGTTCATAAGCAGTTTATGCATGAAAAATGGATGTTGTTCCTTAAAGTTTGTCACAAGTTTGTTTCCAGAAAATCCAATATTTTCTAAAAGGTTTGTTGTAGTCTTAACAGAACCAAGACTTAGTATATGTAAGTAAATCGTCATACTTATGTGTGTTTTTATATTTAAATAAAACTCCTTAAATCTCCGTGAACTGTGTGTTTTGTTAATTCCCCATGTGAGTAGTTATAACCATGCTAAAACTCGAAGACCTCGTACTCGACGTTCTTCAGGCGTCGGAATGTTATGACATTTGTCACCCCAGACCTGTCGGTCGAGCTGTTGCAAGCAGCTGAGGTGCGGGTTTGTCAGACCCAATATTGATCTATACACAACTATCACGCTCTCCCTCCAAGAGATTCTGATTATAACTACAGGACTTTTCTGTGGTACTTAAGAGTACCCTGAAGGTGAATGACTCACAAATTTATTCATTAACAAGTTCACGTAATTTATAAGAAAATACCCGTTTTGTAAATCGATTGTGTTAGTGTTTCTTTGTTAAACGAAGCGTTTAAACTATACATATTATAGTTTATCAAGAGTGTTTTATGTTTAATGAAACCTTGTTATGCATGACTTTGTATTTCAATAAAATGACCTTGAAAATACTAAGTGTAACTCGTATACACCTTGCTCAGTATGTTACAAGGTGTGAATAACTCTTAAACACGTTTTTGACAGTTTTATCCTTAACTGTCCCTGTTTTAGAATATTTATAGAAAGATCATTGTATGTCGAAAACTGAATCCGTAAACTCGGAGAGTTTAGAAAAAGAGTCTACTATATTCATAAATTTTCCTATAATTTTTTGTGGTCTCAAACCAGTGTGAAAAATGTTCATCTTCACCGCTTGGTCCGATTTTGTTGCTGCTGTGACAGACAGTTTTGTAAAATCACCATAAATTGTAGACAAATCGCATGGAGTTGTGCAAGTAGTCATTTTAAAGGTTAAAACAGTTCGTGAACAGTTCACAACTTTTCTGTTGTAAGCTGTCAAGTTAAGTTTTAAATATGTTTTGGTGTTTTAACTTGTATTCCCCCCTGAAAACTAAAGAAAACTGGAAAATATAGGGGGGTATGAACTCACCTTGAATGATTTCTTGATGAGTGGAAGGTCGAAGACGAGGAGTATCAAGTCAAGAACACTTGATGAACACGTGAAAGCTTGGATGATCCTAAGGACGATTCTTTGGTGTTAAAATGTGCGTAGATGATCCAAGAGTGTTAGGAAAATATGGAATAACACTTGACTTTAGATGAAATACTTACCAAAAAGTGAAGTAGTAGCTCAACAACACTTTCACAAAGTGGTGGGAAGTAGAGAGGAAAAGAGGCTTTCTTGAGGGGTTAAGAAGTGTGTAAGTTTGGAATGATCAAGGTAAACCAAGAAATCCCCCATGGATTTCTTTATATAGTGGAGGTTGTTGGAGCAATTTGCAAGTTGAAATGATGTTTACCTTGGTTTGTGTGATGTGGATAAGATTGGGCTAATGAGAGGATGACATATGGAGACAAGTGCACATACTTGACCCACTTGTGGTGTAGAATATTCTTCTTAATGTAAAATAATGATTTATAATTAATAAATCCTTGAGAAATAAATAAAATATGAGTTTAGAGAGTTTAAAATGATAAAAATATGAATTTGGTGAAAAATCCCCGTCAAAAACGGGCTTAACAGGCGAAAGTTGTCGAAAACCGGGAATTAGGAGCGAACCTGCGAGGTTCGGTCCTTAGGAGATGAGGACCGAGAGAAGGGAGGAGGAGGAACCGAAGGTAAGGCTCGGGTCCGAAGTGTGGGTCTCGGGTCCGAAGGTGCGAGAGGAGCGAAATGGACCGAAGGCTCGGTTCATTTCGGTTGTATTTGAGGTTCGGTCCTGCTGACTTCGGTCCAGGTGAAATTCGGTTCGGATGCTATGTTCGGTTCAGAAGGGAAGGTTCGGTCCTGAGGAGCTTCGGTCCTCTTAGTTTCGCTTCTTAGAGTTTCGCTTCCAAGAGGTTCGATTCCATTAGGGTTTCGGTCCCAAAGGGCTGTTTTTCAAGCAAACTTCCCGTTTTGAGTGATTTTTGGCCAAGTTAAGGGTCGGGATGACCCGGATGACTATAAAAAGTTGAGAGAGATTTGGGAGAGATTTAATTTTAGCCATTATTATTGTATAATCTTGCAATGCAAGGTTCGTGAACCCCGTTATGTTTCGTTTATGATTGTTTTAAGTCCCCCAAAAGGGTCCATAGTCGTGTTTTGATGCGTTTAACTCCCTTTTTAGGGTTTTTACATTGCTAAACACATAGATTTTCCGAGACACTTGAATTCTTGACATACAAATGCACATTTTTATACATAGAATAACTTTTAACATACAAGTACTAGTTAAGTTTGACCGGTTTGGCTTGTTGACTTTGACTTTGACTTGAATTTGACGGTTGTCACAAGCAGTCATTTGATTATCATCGGATTGAGGTGAGTATCCTCACTGTACTCGTGGGTCGAAGGCACCAATGTCGTCCCACTAGGTTATGAATATTAGATGTCTTTGTGACTCTTACATGGTATGTTGGGCTAGATCCATTTGTATGTTGGGCTAGGCCCATTGTATGATTGACTAGGCCCATTTGTATGTTGGGTGGGCCCATGGAACAGGAAGGGCTAGGCCCATTGTATGTTATGTAGGTGTTAACTGTCTTTGTGACTTTTTCATTTATATGATCGGGCTAGGTCCAATGGTTTGGCAGGGCTAGGCTTATTATGGTGGGTTGGGCCCAATATGCAGGTTGGGCCCAATGTGAGGGCTATGCTTATTGGTATGTATTGTATGTGATATTATTTGGGAACTCACTAAGCTTTGTGCTTACGGTTTTTGTGGTTATGGTTTGAGGTACTTCCGATTCGAAAGGGAATGGTCCGGCTTGATCGCAGTGCATCCACCCATGCTTCCGTATTATGACGATTTTGCGATTGTACTCTGATAATTGTTTTTCTTATAAAGTACTTTTAAATATTTTGAAAAATGATATTGAATGTCGACTTAAAATAATTAACATTTTGGTTGAATTAAAAATGAAATTTTTACCTCATAATTTTGGGATGTTACACACAAATTAAGGTATTAACAAAAAGTAAATGCAATCCTTTTTTAATTATAAGAATACCTAAAATATGATTAATACATAGGTCGAGGTATAAACTGTACTCTTTTTTCGGTGAGAACTCGTGAAAACACCATAAAAAGAATTGAAAAAAAAATACAAATCATAAAATCGGGCATAGTACTATACTGGAGAGAAAAAAAAATTGAATTTTTCTTTTTTGGATCATAAAAAGTGAATCATTGATCATAAAAATGATCCATGATTCAATTTTAATGATCAAAAAAAATTTTCCAATTTTTTTTCTCTCCAATATAGTACTATGCTTGATTTTATAATTTGTATTCGTTGTTAATTTTTTTAAGGTGTCCTCACGAGTCCTCATCGAAAAAAAAAATTTCACATGATCTTGTTTCTATACACACACAAAGACATACAAACCAGTTTCATAGGGTACTCAACGGGTAGCGGTTCAGAAAAAATGAGAATCGGAACCAGAGCCGCTTAAGGCGGTTCCTAAACTTTAAGAACCGGAATTGCCACGGAACTGTTTAAAGGCGGTTCTGGTTTCGGTTCTTAAAGTTTTCCTTTTGCAGGTAGTGGTTCCGAAATCAGAGGCACAAACACCAAAACCATTGAAAAAAATCTAAATTTCCTTTTGCCAGCCCAAATTAAAACCTTACACTTTAAGCCTTCCCCTCCCTAGATTCGTGTTACCTTTTGCCCTAATCACACGGCAAACCAAAAATCAACTTCTCACTTATCACAATTTGCGGGATCATCAAAAGGTCCAAGCATAACAAAAGCTTTCTGACAATGGAACATGAAGGTCTGTCTGCATATAATAAATAACTTACCGATTCTGTTTTTACCGGAATGAAATGCAATCAAAAGTCGTTCCAAGAATCAGACACGAAGAGAGTCAAGATTAGATAGAGTAAATGATGACATTGGAGGTTAGGTCTACAATTACACATTCAAAACACTATGGGACATGTTAATTGTGTGTACTAGAGTTTTCTTGGCTACTAGTTTTGTGTATGTGTGGCAAAAGAAGGACAAAAAGGAAGGGATGAAAGTTGAGTGAAGTTGATGAGATGGAAAGGTCTGATCATCAGTCTGTTGCTGAAACTACTGAGGTTCATTTTAGGCATAGGCCTAGAGTAAGTTGTTGATTATCTTGTGCTATTACTGCTATATAAGTAGATAGAGAAAACGTTGTAAAATATCAGTGTTTTGCAATGATTGAAGGGATGCTGATGGAGAAGAACAAGAAAGATGGAGACGTTGGGGTTCTGGTCTGTGGACCAAGAAAAATGAGATATGTCCATCAAAGATGGCCAAGAATCTTCATCTGGCGTCCATGAGCTTTAACTGGTGATCATGATAAAAGAAGAATGTGAACTACAACAGCAAGTACATGAATAAAAAAGTGTGAGCGTGGATTGTTTTGTCTGTAATTTTGATAAAATCATGTTATAATACCATGTTCTTATTAAGCATGAATGTAAGTAGCTCTGCATTGAAAAACTAGTTTCTTTTCTTATCTAAAAAAAAAAAAAAAAAGAGGGGATATGGCCAAAGAGAGAACCAAACCAATGAATGGTATTTGACCCAACAAAAAAACAATGTCCTAAATACCCCTCTCATGAAAGGAGAAAATGAAGATTTAAAACAAAAAATAAATAAATAAGTGATTTGGTTATTACTTTCGGTTACAATTATAACCATTATCGTCCTTGTAACTGTGAGTGGAGCGAAAATGATCATCCGGATACCCAATCGATGAGTGTCTCTTTGTCTGTAAATTTGGAAGAAGAATGAGGTTGATCAAACTCAAGGCTCCTCTGTCTCTGTATCTGTTTCTGTGTTACATCAATATTCTTTGGCTTCTGAAAATGCCATGCGATTGGAGACCCTGATCGGGATCTTGAATAGCAACCTACTTTTCTTTCTTTTTCTCTTTCTCTTTCTCTTTCTCTTTCTCTTTCTAAATAATGATAATGATAATGATAATAATGGTCTTCTCGTGAATGAAATCTGTATCTATTTGGTGCCCTGTGATTGTAACTATCATCATATTCATTGTTTCTTTCAGATGATGATGATGATGGCCTTCTTTTGTAGTGGGCCCTATAACCACTATCCCTTGGACTATAAGAATAGTAATCTCTAGTAATATTTCTCGGTCTATTGTGCTCATGACTACTGCTCCTTGTATCCCACCAAGATCGAGAATTTCTACCAACATTTTTCCTACTTTCTTCCACACTGACACTGTCAGCCAACAATAATGAGCTTTGACCTTCACCATTGTGGTCAGCTTCTTCTGACAAAGGGTTTTCAATACTCCCAAGCTCATCTTTGTCTTTGTCTTTGTCTTTGTCTTTGTATGTATTATCAGACTCATAATACACCCTCTCTTTTTTCGGCTCTCTCAACTCCCCATCTTCAAATGGAGAATCATAACCAACTTCTTCAACTTTCTCCATCTCACCCTCATGTTCATCTTCAGTGACATTTGAATTTGAACCACAAGGATCTTCTGAACCACCTTTCTTCTTACAATAACTTTTCAACACTTTTGGGGATTCACAACCACCTTCAATTTACTTCTTCAGAAACAGCCTGCTGATCTGAATCTGAATCCTTCACATTGATTTCTTTCTTGTATATCTGATTTACTTACAGAGCTCTCACAATCTGACGTCTTGCTGGTAATCGTCTTTATGCCCAAATCTTCAATCGATTCATGTGTTTTCTCAAAAGAATCATCATTACAGCTTTCAGCTAAAGGCAATTGATTCACAGATACACCTTCGGTGCATCTTCTTTCATACCCTTCTTCTAACTTCATCTTTACACCTTCTGAACAATTATCCTGAGGCTGAGATTTAACCATCAAACCATCACAAGGCTCCTCCCACTCATCCATTACAGTATTTAAGTCCCAATGTAGCCTTAATGCAACCTTTTTCTCTGCCCCATCTGACGCGGTTGATATCAAAGTTTCTTTTATATCAACAGCACATGAATCAACTCCTGGTGTTGTGTCTTCTTTAAACACTTTTTGATCATCAACATAATCTGCATCATCATGAATGAAGCTACTGCATGCAGCAGCAGCAAGAAGTTCAATACCTGAAAAGTCAACTTTTTTTGTCGGTTTTGATTTATTACTGTTTCTCAATCGAGTCTTGGACTTTGTTTTCAGGTTCTGAGATAGTGAAGAATGATACCGCTGACTAGGATCTTCATAATGGACACAAGGAGTCTGAGGTCCAGGTGGAAGAACCCCATAGCCATGGAGACATGAAATTTGAGGAGGTGTAGATGGGGATTCATGCACAAGTCTTCTTCTCTTCAAAGGGGTGTCAACTACCTGTCAGGAAAGCAAGAGTAAAACGTAAAACTTCATGCCACATAGAAGATAAAACGCGTATGTATATACTATATATAGAATAATAAATACCTTCTTTGTTTCGAAAGCAGTTGGATCTTGTTTTTTGTTACCCAATTCAAAAGTGTCTGCCCCTGTCTTCCTGGGGCGTCTAGCCATGCTCCTACGACCTTTTTTCAGCATGTTCCATTTTAAGTCCACATTGATATGGTTCAAAAGTTCTAAATCCATTCTGGTATGCTTTAGTTTAGACTGGTTCTAAACAATCAACTTATAGCTTGTAAGGTAGAAGTAGTTCAGAGTAACCTGCAAACTCTAGTAGCAAAACATCAAAGAAGGTTATTATTGAGAAACCAAAGATGAGTTGGGAAAATAAATGCAACTAATATAAACTTATAAGATTAAAATTCATCTTTTAGCCCATCATTGACCACATATCTAACCTACTTTATGTCTCTATACAAACAAGAAAATTATAAGATAAAGGTTCAAATCTTCAAGACAAATATTACAAGTATGCCCAATATTTAACACATGCTGATTTTGAAGGTAGCACTGCAACAATGGACATTAGGTTTGGGAAAAGACATGTGATTAAATATATTAGTTATATGCAAACGAAGCTCTGGCCAAAATCTAATAAAACCCTCCGTACATTAATTTATAAATCTGGACTTATGAGGGCTATTTCCTTTGAAGAAATCTTGAAAAGATCTTAATGTATCACAGTATGATGAGATCTGATTGGGTGTAACGAATTGAAAGCCATATAAATTGTTAAGAGAAACAATACTTTCATATAAATAGCATAACTGTAACCTTTTATTGATTAGTTTGTAGATTAATCAATGGAGAACTCAAATCCATTTGAAGAAGAAAAAAAGTAGTCGATGTCATCAAGACCTACAATTTGCCCTAATCCAGTTTTTCAACAGAAAAGCTTTTCGACAAGCACTCAATTTGAGTGTTTGTTCCTTGATTATAAGGAAGATTGTTTCCCCACATCGTGGTGATAAGAGGAGATTTAGATTAGTAACAACGTAACAAGATTTATTATCCGCGGACCCCAATGATGCGAATGACGTCTCCATTCAAGGAATCCTTAGAGGATAGAGATAAATAATGTCTGCATCGATTTAGATGTGAAACCTCAGAAGAGAAGGCTAAACCAATTTTAAGATGGAAGCTCAACTAAAGATGTAGATACATCAGTGGAACGAATAATTGAAGATTTTCTGTTTGTGGCATCGGTTCGCACATTATGTATGTTTCGGGACTGACTCAGGTGAAATTCTGGAGATTCGCATAGTCCGATAGCCGAAAATTCTTTATCGTTTGATTGGAAAAAAAAGGATAAAATAAAAAAACTTATGGTTTCTCGTACCTGTGCTCCATATTTGATTGGACCTCTATCATACGAATAACGAAAAGCCGCCGATTCTCTGGCGATCCAAACAATAATCACGTTCCCTCCTTTGAGTAGAATGCATAAAAATCAAGTATTCTTTATTTGATTCACATCAATCATACACGCCAGAATGAACCAATCGTCGAACGTATAGCTTTAAATGATGATACATGCGATACTCTTGAAGATTTAACACCTCATAATCCAGTTTTTTCCTTCAAAAGAGCCTAAAAAATCATAAGGCAACGGATCGCAGATTCGCAGGAGTTGAGGAGGGATGTATTTATAGTTGGATATTGTCTGGATGACCCGAACGATAAGAAGCCCTAGGTCAAAGATGGAGATTTGGCAGCTAGTTTAAACGAGAAGGATGCGGCGATGATGGAGGATGTAATCGTGTGGCTGTGATTTTGCCCTAAAGATCCAACGGTCATTATGCCAAATCTTTCCACATCTAATGTTGTTTCGCACGGCATTTAATTTTTTCTTTAATAAGTATTATGCTTATGTTTACCAACGGCTTCTAGTCCAGCGGTATCCGGTGTTACCCTCCCTTCTTGAGGGCCTAGACATAGGTGTAGTTTAGGAGTATATTAGATGTTATATTTTTCGTTTAAAAAAAAAGATAAAAAGGAAATTAAATAATCTAACCATGTTTATTTGAAAAAAATAACTAAATTTTTTTAGAAAAATAACCGTTTTGTCCTGAATGGGTATTCAGACCAAGAAAAAACATGTTTCGGATTACAAAAAATATATATATAAATAAATAAAAAATAAAAAAACTCTGGAACAGTTCCGAAATTTCAAGAAAAAAATCGTTTTTTACTTAAATATAGTAAATATGAACTATATACAATATTAGTATATAAAATTGAACATTTTATTGAAAACAGTGATATTAGACATTTAGAAATTGACATTTCAGACAAATACTTTTCAAAATATATTAAAAAATAATCTCAAAGCTTTAAGATCAAACCCAAAATTGAGCATTCTTTGAAAAAAAAAAAACGTAGTTTGGAATTTGAACTAACGAGACATTTATGAGTTTGTGGTCATTTTTTCAAAAAATGAGCAGAATGGTTATCAAAAGACTCGTTTATATGAGTTAGAGTATTCAATTCCCCATTGATAAAATATAAATTAAAAATTATGTGATTGATAAATATAATTCGATGGGGTCTCAAAATGTAGTAGATATTTAGGTTTTTTTATTTAATCTTTTCGTTTAACTTTTAAAACAATCTTATAAAAATTGTCTAAAATTTGTCCTTTTTTGAATTAAAAGAAAAAAAAACATTTTAAATGAAAATTATGGTTGACCCTTAAGGCTGGTGGGTGTGATGTCACACTTGTCAAGGTCTACATAGACATCACATCATTTTTGTTACACTTTAACGAAAATTTGTCATTTGCATGACATGGATTGTCATACTTGTCATGCTAAATATATATATATATATATATATATATATATATATATTTAATTAATTTAGAAAATAAATATTGCAAACATATTAGTTTTAAAAAACTTAAATTCCATTAAATAAAACATAGAAATTCAAAAAAAAAAAAACATAGAAATTAAAAACATCACAAGACCACTTGGAATTCAGACACATCACACTAGAAATTCAAACACACAACTCACTACACTTTAGAAGACAAAGACTTCAATTTTGACGTCATTTGCGGCTTTGCCTCGCAATTTCCCAAAATTCAACAAGCCTGAAACTTTTGTCAGTTTCAACACGGTAAGCCTCAAGAGCATTCTCTAGTAAAGTATTATCGTTTTCACATTTTTCGGCTTCATGCATCACCCTACGAAACACAATGGTAAACCGAGTTGCGAGTGTGTGTGAGTTTCTCCATTTGGCGTAGAGTACATATTTTCTTCGAGGTTAAAGAGTTTAGCGGTTTGTATATGTCAACGACTCTCCTCCAAAAAGTAGTCGCGAGGCTGGCATTGTGGGTTGGATCTTCTGCTACATCAATCCATGAACGAGCGAGTAAGATCTCTTCTTCGGTAAACCAAACAATAGCCATTTTTAGTGATTAGATGTAGAAAAATATGGAAAAGTAACAAAGTTAAGAGAATAGGATTAATGAGATTTGAATGAGGTGAATAGTGAATAAGGACGGGGGTATTTATAGTTGAAGATTGAGGGTTTAAAATTTAAAATTTTGAAAAAAAAAAACTAGGTATTTTTTTTGGGAAAGATGGTCTTTTTTGAAAATGGAATTTGAATAAAAAACAAACAAACAAACAAAAAATTAGAAATTGGGTTTTCTTTCTCATCGGTAACTTTCGATGTTAAGGCCTCGGCCCGATGTTCGTCGAGCATGTTGAATCCCTTCCTGAAGCCACACCGACTAGCCTAAAGAGTTTAAGTGGTGTAGTTGAACATAATATTATGTAGAAGACCCAAAATAATTAGGTTAATTAAAAATAAAATTCAAGATGCATACAGTAGAGACAAGCACGAAGTGTACTGTAGAAATTAAAATCAATCATTCAATCAAGTTGCCCCTCCTCTTTGCTCATGATGATATGCAACCATACAAATTAATGATGGAAACTTAATCGATTCAAATACATATAACACTATCATGTCTTACCTTCAAAACTCAAAATTGCATTAGTATTAATCCTTCAAAAGTTAAAATTGATTTAATAGTTAAACATACCTTCGGATTCCTAAAATCAATTTTAGTCTTGTTGCAACCAACATTGCTCCAGTTTTTAGTCTTTTAAATCAATTTTAGTTTTGTTTGACATATTTAAGCCTGTCGGGATTTCCGCCAAGAAAGAGGTTCTTGTGAATTTTTTGACTTACCCGGCAGAAGGAAAGTCAACCATTAGACCGGTCGACGTTCTTATTTGTGGATGGGTTGGAAGGAAACACACATGTGTGGACCTTACAGGAGTATCCCCTCTCGTGGGCTTGAGGGATGGGGGTTTCACAGCGGGACAGACTGCTTTAAAAGCTGCTACACGCAAGGTCACCAAATATGAGAAATTATGCATGGAAAATCAACACGTGTTCATACAATTTGCATTTGATACGTTTGGTTTCCTTGCGCCGGATGTGGTGGAGCTTCTTAAGAGAGTGCAACGGATCATGCATAACAATGGTATATCCCCTAGATCTATAGATGTAGTCTTCAAAAGAAATGACTTTACCATACAAAAAGGCTTAGCGGCGCAGCTTCGAATCCATTTGTCATCTCACTCGTTGTACGATAATAACTAAGTTTTATTATTAAATCGAGTAATGCTTCAGTTTTAGTCTTTCATATGTTTTGTTTCTCTAGTTTTGTTTTGCTTTTACAGTTTCAGATTTTCTGATTTTGCTTTACGATTTTAGTTTTTTAGATTTTTAGATTTTGTTTTAGTTAGTTATTTCAGATTTTATTTCAGCTTATTAGTTTATTGCATAACTAAGAAAGTGATATGCAAATCAACTAGGGAAAATGAATTCTACAAACGTATGGAGTAGAAAGTCTCTAAACTTTTTGTTAGGTTGGAAGTGCAGATTCGAGTTGGGAGGAAGTAATCACAAAGAATCTCACTGTCTGTTACGAAGATAGATGAAACTGAAGCCCAAGACATCTTCTCATTGGAGAAAACTAAGGCGTCAACATTATATTGACTGATTCGTGAATTATGTTACTGATATAAATGGGAGACGAGCTACGTATGGGAACACATTATTAATGATTGTCAAGGCCTCGGCCCGGTGTTCGTCGAGCATGTTGAATCCCTTCCCGAAGCCACACCGACTAGCCTAAAGAGTTTAAGTGGTGCAGTTGAACATAATATTATGTAGAAGACCCAAAATAATTAGGTTAATTAAAAATAAAATTCAAGATGCATACAGTCTGACAAGCACGAAGTGTATTGTAGAAATTAAAATCAATCATTCAATCAAGTTGCCCCTCCTCTTTGCTCATGATGATATGCAACCATACAAATTAATGATGGAAACTTAATCGATTCAAATACATATAACACTATCATGACTTACCTTCAAAACTCAAAATTGCATTAGTATTAATCTTTCAAAAGTTAAAATTGCTTTAATAGTTAAACATACCTTTGGATTCCTAAAATCAATTTTAGTCTTGTTGCAACCAACATTGCTCTAGTTTTTAGTCTTTTAAATCAATTTTAGTTTTGTTTGACATATTTAAGCCTGTCGGGATTTCCGCCAAGAAAGAGGTTCTTGTGAATTTTTTGACTTACCCGACAGAAGGAAAGTCAACCATTAGACCGGTCGAAGTTCTTATTTGTGGATGGGTTGGAAGGAAACACACATGTGTGGACCTTACAGGAGTATCCCCTCTCGTGTTGGAATACACCAGGCCCACATATAATCACATATAATCATAACAGCATACTATGGGTCCAATCAACCATCGGGTTGGAATACCCCAGGCCCACAACCAACAGGTTGGATTGCCAACACACTATGGTCCAATCAACCATCATGTTGGAATACCCCAGGCCCACAACCAACAGGTTGGAATGCCCACATACTCTGATTCCAATCATCCTCGGGATGGAATACTCACGGCCCACAACCTACAGGTTGGAATGCCCAGGTCTATTGGCCTTCGCACCAAGCAGATAAGCCTCAACCGCCAAACAAACATGTGCACATATAATAGATAATCACATAACAGTCTATAGACAATACTTGATCTAACGGATCTTACCACATAGCACATAACACCATCCTATCTACTAGGATGCCAATCTAACAGATCATACCACATATCATATAATATTATCCTACCCTCTAGGATACCGATCTAACAGATCATACTAGCATAACATAACCATATAATAATCCAAAGGGCCGGCCTTGGTGCCTTAGACCCTTGAGTATAGTGAGGAAAACTCACCTCGCAACTGTCGTCTGAAACTAGAAGCTCAATTCCCGGATCACCAACACGAACTCCACCACCTATCGTTACCATAAAACCCTTTTTCGTAAATCTCCAAATTACCAGAATACTCTCAGAAGTCAACTGGTCAACTCTTGGTCAAAGTTAAAGTCCCCAGTCATAGCCAACAGTCCATGTTGACTCGACTCGTCGACTGCAGACCATCGACTCGTAGAGTCCTTCCTGACCTCGAGAAGTCGTGAAATCCTTGATTAGCTCGTCGAGTTCCCCTTTAGCTCGCCGAGTTCATACGTGTCCAAGAATTGGGAGAAACCCTATCCGACTCGCCGAGTCTTCGAACGACTCGCCGAGTTCAAGGCAATCTTCAACGGAATCGCCGAGTTTGTTCATCAACTCGACGAGTTC